GGTTTTGGGGGGTTTTGGGGGGTTTTGGGGACGGCAGAAGGTGACTAAACCCAGATATCGGAGGTGCAGTCCCCGCCGGGGTAGCGGATCTCGTGGGCCAGGCAGGGCCCGTCCGGTTCCTTCCCGAAATCCACCAGGAAGTTCTCGTTGACCGACAGCCCACCCTGCTCCGTGTCCACATCCAGCTGCAGCATGACGGAGCCTTCCCTGCGGAGAGGAGAGAGCGGGGAGGTTGTGAGGGGGGGAGGCTGGGGGGAGCCCGGTGTCCCCACCACCCGAAAGTCAGTGCCCGAGCTGCTGCAGGGTCCGCACCTCCCACCTTTATCAAACCTGTTGGTACCTGATGAGGTCGGGGTAGAACTGCTTGTCCCAGGCGCTGTAGAGGGACGTGGTGACGTACAACCTCTTCCCATCCGAGCTGGATCATCTGGGGTCCTCCCGCCACCTTCTTCCCCTGGGAGCGGGCAGAGGAGCAGACGTGCTGCCAAGGGGGTGCAGGACCAGGGGACACCTCTCCCTCCCCCAGACCAGTGGTGCTGGATGCCACGTGCATCCCGTGGGATGTGGTGGAGCAGAACTTCAAGGACCTGCTCTCCTGCTGCTGCCTGGGCTTGGATTTTGGGGAAACATCTGAGCTCACCTTGATGACAAACGGGTCTGGCTGGCTCTGCAGCTCTTCATCCCTGCACACGGTCACAGGTCCCCCCTTGGTGATGCTGCCACCCACAAAGACCTACAAGAGACCAGAGGTTTGAGTGGCCAAGATGGGGACAGCGGGGATCAGCCCCTCCTCACCAAGAGATGGAGGAGAAGCGTTGGGATGCGATGGGGACCCTGTGGTCACCTCACCTGCCCCACCAGCTTGGGCTTGCAGGTGTTGGAGATGTCGTACTGGCGGATGTCTCCGTGCAGCCAGTTGCTGAAATACAGGAACCTGTCGTCCAGCGAGATGAGGATGTCGGTGATGAAGCCTTGGAGAGGACACGACAGAGCTGCACTAACAGGCGGCAGCACCGGCAGCACCCAGGGCAGCCAGGGAGCACCTCAGCACCCATCTCTGCAGGATGCACTGACCTGGCATGTCCGGGAGGAGCCATCCCTCCACCTTCTTGCTGGGGACTTGGATCACCTTCTCGGCTGCCCAGTCTCCTCGCTGCAGGACAGGGCACAGCCCCAGGGGGCTCAGCGCGTGTGGCAGAGGCAGGATGAGCCCCGACGCTGGGGCCAGTGCTCTGTGCACGCGTCCACCACCTCCTGTCTCTGGCTGCAGCTCAGCTGCTTTGCCAGTTGTGGGAAACCTCATCTCTGTGGAGCCGTGGGGAACACGGGCTCCGGGACCTGAGGAAGAGCTTCGGGGGCCAAAAACCTGTCTAATTTTCCAGCTGGATGAGCTGGTTTGGTGAAAGATGTTCTCTCTCCTCACCCAGTTCCTCATTACACGCAAACAACAAACACCGAGAACATTGCTTGAGCTGTTGTAAAACCACAACAAAGGTATAAATAAATCTCATTTAAATTAAATCATTTCAGCCTAAACTACTGCCAGTCAGGACAAGTCCTCTGGTGAGTTTCCCCCCCAAGCCAGCTCATGTTCTGGGTGCAGAGAGGTGGCTGCACAGCACGGGGAGGTGGGTGCCTGCGTTGGCATCGGCAGGGACCGGCACTGGGCTGGGAGGACGGTGGGGGATGCGGGATGCTGCGCGGAGCCGTACAGCTCAGTCAGCCAAGGGGCTGCACCCCCCTTCTCCTGGGGGATCACGTACCTCGGTCTTGTAGAAGCGGTGGATGGCGCTGCTGATGGTGCAGCCCACGAAGCCCTCGGCAGCGTCGGGGGTGTGGAGGAAGCGGATCTCCAGGGGAGCCGCATCCTCGCCCACGTCGATGGCCTGGATGTAGGTGTGAGTGGTCCAGTCCCACACGTTGAGGCGGCGGCCATAGCGCCCTGGGAAGGAGGGTTAGAGGGGAAGCTGTGAGGTGCAGGGTCTCAAGAAGATGGGCTACGGGTTCAGGTGAGTCCTCAGCCCCTTTAACGCCCCGCAAGGACAACCCCACGATCTCTGCACCAGCACACGCTGATCACTTTGGACTGTGGCAAGAGCAATGGGAAGGTGCCCGGCATCCAACTGGGACCATCTCGCTAGGACGGGGCTGGGAAGGGCAGCAGAACCTTTGAGGGGCAGCTGGGCTGAGATGGGGCTTCACCCTTCATCCCTACAGCCAAAATCCAACCCCAGGTACAGCTCGACAGCAGCGTTTACGGGCTGTCTGGGGCTGGTGCTTGCATCCAAAGTGTGTTGCAGCAAATGGGCTGGGCTTGGATTTTTTAAAACCATGTGATCTCCAGGAATTGTTGTGAAATTTGTTTCGCAAGCACAGTGTCTTGGGCAGTTTTATCTGCACTCATGAGGTGTCGGCTCTCACTGCCAACAGAAGAGGGTTAGAATTTGGCTGCCTCACAGTCCTGCTCAGCGTCTCTCTCCTGGAGTTCTCAAACAACTGTTTTCTCACCTTTCTTCAGATCATTGGGGTTAAACCCGTATCCCAGGCATTTTGGGATTCCCCATTCAGTGCTGATCAGGACGTTATGGCGTGGCTGGTACCAGAAGTCATAACCCATCGGGGGGACGTTGTCCCCTTTCTCCCAGTTCCCCTTGATCTCAAAGGTCTCTGCGTCCAGCAGAATAAAGCCACCTGATGCAGAAACAAAACCACATCAGTGGTGAGGAAATGATCCAGATTAACAGTTTACATGTTCTAAAACAAGCAGCAACAGACAGATCAACCTGTTCCAGACCAGGCTGGGAGACCTGGACAAAGCCTGGATGTGGGGACCATTCCTCCTGCCCCAGCACTCTCTCCCTGGGGAACTGGGGGGACTGGGGTACCTTTCCCGTTGCCAGCTGGGTCTCCCAGGGTGCTGATCATGACTTCACCACTGCCCAGGCAGTGGGAGGTGTGGGGGTAGCCCAGGTTACACTTCCAGAAGACATCCTCTGGGTTGATAACCTGTCAGGAGTTCACAGACACTGTCACATCCTCTGTGCTGGGCTGTCCCAGGCCAGAAGAGTGTCTGCTGCTGTGCTGAATTCAGGTTCATGAGCCTGGTGTTACCCCGGGCAGCTCCTGCCTGACCTCAAGATGGGACTTGCCATGCAGCCAGAGGGGCTGAGAACTTGCACAGTCCTGCTGTGCTTGCCTCAAGAAGCTGGCTGAGGCCACCAGCGAGGCACTCGCACGCCCAGGCACGGGGCAAACTGCAGACAGGAGCCCAGGGCTCCTTTGGAGACACACACCCCAGGTGAGACACGGACTGTAAACCTGCCAGGCCGTGCTCTGCTGGGCAGCTGGTGTGTCCTGGTCCCCTCCTGCACAGAGCTAGATGAAGAACTGCACATCAGCAGGAGAACAACCACCTCCCACAGCCCTTCCCATACTGTCATCCACACATCAGGGTCCTGCTAGGCGATTAGATGTACCCCAAAACCTCTTTGCCAAGCTGTTCCCGCAGCCAGAAGCCACCTCCCAGCCCTTCAAGCTTTAATGTGTGTCACACCACCTCTGAGGTACCTTGAAAAGCCTGGGAGCTCGCGGGTCGGTTCCCACATCCACCACATAGATGCGGGTGGAGATTAAGCTGGGGAGGATCAAGCGGTTCCGCTTCTTGGTGGTGTCCCCGAAGCAGCTGCTGCAGGCGTTCCACCCCGAGTGGTGCAGCTCATCCCCCAGGTTGGGCATGGGCAAGCGGTGGATCACCTGCAAGGTCCCAGCCCTGCTCACACCACTCTCTCCTCTGCCAAGTGCAGGATCACGGGCAGAGCAGGGAGCTCAGGGCTTTGCAGACCCCACCTGAGGTCAGGGTGCCTCAAACAAGTCTCACCCTACAGCAGGGAGCGTAGGGGATCCTAAGGATGAGGTGTGAAGTGGATTTTACATACATTTTGTAATCACAGGAAGACTCAGAGCCTTGGGGAGAAGTGGACAGGCATCAGCCTTCAATGCTGAGCCAGCACAAAGTACTCTGGGGAGCACGAAGGACAAGCACTGAGCTGATTCCCAGGCCAGTTTAGTACCAAGATAAAGTGTTTGGTACCTGGCAATACTGTGGAGATCTGGGGTTGACATCCAGAGTGGCCAGAAAGTCAGGTTTCTTTCTCCCAGTATTCCTGTAGATGCAGGGCACGTACAAAATCTCCTCCCGGGGACCTTTCAAGACAGAAATGTTGCATCAGCATCAGCAGAAACCACCTTTGACAGAATAAAAACCTTTGCAGGAGTCTCTGGTCAGCCTAGATCTCCCTCCTGGTGTGTTCCCTCGTGCATGGGGCACTGGATCTCCATCTCTCTGCCTTACCAGAGGCACCAGCCTGGGCTCAGCTTGGAGAGGCTGTCCTGTGGGGATTTAGGTTTATTTAAATTCCATGCCATGGGAAGGGATTTCTGGACCTCAGAGTCCCTAAGGAAGCCCATGCCTTTGGGATTACCCCATTGCCTGTGAGGACACGCCAGCCCTTCCCCAACCCTATCAGTCACGCGAATCAAACCACTTTGTGTCTCATTTCCATCGTGTTTACACAGGAGAAGCCTTAAAACCACATGAGAAGAGCTTGTCAGACTAAAGTCAAAGGCAGAGAGCCCCCCAAGCCCCTCTGCAGTCCCATGGTCCTACTGAGCAGTGAAAATCTCCCCTGCCACAGTGGTGCAGGAGCTCCCTGCCTGCAGGGCATCCCACTGGGAAAGGGCGAAGGGCTCTGCCCCAGGGATGTCCCCAAAGCAATGGGTCAGCCACGCTCCCTGCTCCCCAAACTGGAGCTGCTGCCTTGGTGCACACGCTGCTCCCCATAGCAAGTGTGCTCAGCTTTGAAATGGCTTTGTTCTGTGAGCTGAGCACTGCCCAGCCCTCAGGCAGGAATATTCAGACCCCACGGAGTCTCCTCATCCTTGTGGAGGTGGCACCCGCTCTCGGGTCGTGTCAGGATAAAGTATTGCCAAAGCCAGGGCCGGTGGGGAAGAACTGGTTTAGGAAATGCTGAGGAAGAGGGAGTGATGGGAAACAGAGACAGGGGTAATTTGGATTAGATCCCAAGCAGATAGTAACTGGCTTTGCAACATATCACCTTTATAAACCTTACTACAGCATCAGTCTCGGGTTTAAGAGCAGCTGCCAGACACGGAGGGATCCCATCCCTGCGGCTGCAGCAGCACCAGAAGTCAGGGCATTAGGAAATGCTGAGGAAGAGGGAGTGATGGGAAACAGAGACAGGGGTAATTTGGATTAGATCCCAAGCAGATAGTAACTGGCTTTGCAACATATCACCTTTATAAACCTTACTACAGCATCAGTCTCGGGTTTAAGAGCAGCTGCCAGACACGGAGGGATCCCATCCCTGCGGCTGCAGCAGCACCAGAAGTCACGGCATGGGACACAATCACCGAGCTCCCACCCTCAAACACCCCCTGAGGTGTCCAGAGGACACTAAGAGCTGCATGGGAGCCCAACCTGCATGGAAGAGCTTTTGGGTGTCAGAGTTACTCAGCACCACTGAAGCAACTGGATAGTTCCCAAGGGAACTCACCAGAGTAGCAGAGTCAGTGGGATTTGTGCTATTTCCTATTCATTTAAATCCCTGTCCAGTTCTGCCAACACACAGCGATGTTTTAAAGACTCGTCCCTTTATTGTTCTCTTGGTGAAAGATGTTTCAGGGGTAGGAATCATAGAATGGTTTGGGTTGGAAGGGACCTTAAAGCTCATCCAGTCCCAACCCCCCTGCCAGCAGCAGGGACACCTTCCACTAGACCAGGTTGCTCAAAGCCTCATCCAACCTGGCCGAGAACACTTCCAGAGAGGAGCAGCCACAGCTTCTCTGGGCAACCTGTTCCAGTGTCTGACCACCCTCACAGTGAAGAATCACAGGTCATGTGCAACCTCCAGAGCTCACTAAGGTTTCAAGGATGTGTTTGCTGAAGAGGATTAAGGGAGGGACAGCCAGAGATGACACATTCATTGGTCTCTTCACAACAGAGCACCCATGTTTCAACAATGCAGCAAGAAGGATTCTCAAGCAAAATGTGCAGAGGTGTGAGGAAGCAGCCGGTGAGGCTGGTTTTTATACGAGGAGGTTTTGTCATGTTGTGATCCCAGCTACTGGGAACAGAGTGCAATGAAAAATCAGGATGGTCCCTGCCCAGGTTTAGCTCAGGTGTTGGTATCATGGGGCTACAGCAACACAATTGACTCTGAGAAACTTCAAATGTCCCATTTAGTTTTGCACAAGGAAGCCACAGGTGACTTTGCCACAGGCTACGACCCATCCCAAGCCACCATAAAACCTCTAAAAATTTGTTCTGACACCAAGGTGTCATTATGCAATTTGATGTTTGGCCTCTAACGCTTGCTGGGAGCTTCCTCCACCTCAGAGAATGGAGTTAATTGATAATGCCCTCTTGAAAGCATTGTTTTAATCCTCATCTAAATGACAGAGAGCACAGGGCTCTTCCCTGCCTGCCCTGGATTTCAGACTTACCTTTCATCGCATCCAGAGGTGAGGCGAAGCCAGGACCACATGCTCCACACCCTTCTGTGTTGAGAAGAACAGAAACAAACAGAAATTAGACAACAGTGAGTTCTTTTAATGCCCTTTTTTGATGAAGGAACCACTCGCTGGAGCGGCTGCACGTGCCCCCACTCTATGGCAATGTCCCAGGTGAACCAGGATGACCCCCAAAATGGTTTGGGGCTGTTTCTCTGCTTTGCCTCCCATCGTGTCCCTGTGGTGGAGAGGAAGGGGCACGTGTAGGGGCAATGTATGGGGGGCTCACGTGGCCTCAAGGAGACACCAAGAGCTCTTGAGATTCCTCTGCGAGGAGGAGGAGGAGGAGGAGGGGAAACAGTGAGGAAGAAAGGCAGTATGGATAGGCTGCTGCACCCCAGGAGCCTCCGTGGGTGCTGGGGGCAGAGGGAGGGGAGAGGATTCTCCAGAGAGAGCATCCACCCCCTCGCTGCAGGGTGAGGAGGGGGATGAGCCGAGCCCCAGGCTCTGCTCTGCAGCTCCTCCTGACCCTCTTTGGGACGGCTGCACCCTGCTTTGGGGGCATTAATGCAAAGTTTGCACACAGAAAGGTGATTCCACCCAGGACATTCAGTGCTCAGTTCAGCCCCAGCACCATCCTGGGAGTTCCCATCCCGCTGCTGCGGATCTCCGGGGCACTGGGAATCCCGCTGGCCTCCTTCTCTTTGTAACTGGTGAGTTAATTGTCCTTGATGCAGTCGCACCAGAGCTTGTTAGGAAACAACCACAGCACCAAAAGGACCCCGTTTCCCCATTTACAACTGAGGAAGGGGAGGAAAACCCCCAGCTGAATTGTACACCTCAGCTTTGCTGCATCAGCTTCTTATTTGTTTTTACTCTGATTTGTTTGATCCCTTGTGTCCCTGCTCCTCCAGGGAAGCACTCCTACCTGAAGCACTGAGAAACCACCCCTCCAGCTTGCTTCTCCCTCCTCCTTAGATTCCCCCTGCACAAACAGCCCCAGCAAAGCCAGACTGAGCGCTCCCTGCCACGGCGTATCTGACTATAGCAAGTGCAGCCTGGACAAGCTGCAGGTGAATAAATGAGAGAATAGTCAGAAGGCTTTTAAAAGGCTTTTAACCATCAGTCTACCTAAACGTTTCCTGGCACTTTTAGTAGCTTAAGAAACCCTTTCCTGGCCAAACACCACATTCATCCCCAGGTTTCTTTTTACTTTTTCTGGGTGGTACAATAACCAAACCATGAGACCCAGCTCCAAATAAATTTAGGAGGACTCTAGAGCAGAGTCCACGGCCAGAAGGCAGCAGGTCACCAAGAGTCCCAAGCTTTCTCCTCTTGAGAGTAAGCTGCAGCCAACACAGAGAGATCTCTTACCTGTGCTGGAGTCTGGAGTGGATTTCGCCTGATGCGGAAAAGCAGAGAGAGATGATGCTGCCTGCATTCTGCCTGCTGGGAGCAAGTCAAGAGGGAAGACGCAGCTCCACAGGGGCTCAAATATATAGGGAGCAGGACAGGGAGAAGGAGGGTTTGGAAAAAGGACACCAAGGGGTGGATCCACACGCCTGGGGATGTGGGAGGTACTGGGACAGCCTTTGGCACCTCACACCACTGGAAACGTGCAGGGAAGCTACTTCAGCGCTCCCAGAACCCACTCTCCTCCCAGAGGGGTCAGGGATGTGGCTGTGGCTGCGCTGGACAGTGCACCCACACTGGAAAAACAAGGGCTTTAGCCATGGAGAGGATGCAGGCTGCTCCTCAACACCGATCCCCTGCTAGAAGCCACCTCTTGAGTTTCCCCATGGGGCTGTCAGGGGGCCCCTGATGAGAGACAGGCAAGCATTGCATTCCCAACCGCAGGAATAATTTTACGAGGTTGCAGATGTTAATCACAAGTGAAAATGAAAAGCGAGGACCGGGTTTCTTTTAATTGCAGGATGAGTGTTTACTGTGGGATGTTAAATTGCTGGCTGGGAAGAGGGCAGAAGCAATCTAACAGTTTTCTTCCATGACACATCAGACTTACTCAGTGTCTGCTACTGCTTCTGGCTGTAAAGTTGGGCGTCAGCTGGCACGTCTAGGAAGGGCTGTGCAGAGGGTGCTCGGCCTTCACAGGCACGTCTTTGCTGGCCAGTTACTGCCGAGTCCTCTCCAGTGCTCCCCACAGATGTAGACTCTGGAACCAGCAAGCTCAGTCAATCCTTCTGCCATCAGAGGCTCCCAGCCCAGTGCCCCTGTTGGCAAAAGGACAGATGGCCTTGGGTCAACCTCTCCCACACTCACCTGCTTGGGCTCATCTGTTTGTATTTGATGCTCAGCACCACGCTATGGACCACGCTGCAGATCCACACCGCGGTGGTCAGTGCATCCCCCTGTGTCCCACCATGACTCTGACCAAGGAAAGCTTCTCCAGGAGGCCCCACGGCTTCAATGCAAAGGAAAAAGCATGTATTAGCAGCAGCCCAGCTTCATCTGGACCTCACATGCACCTTCCAGGTATCCTCCATAGAAGTGTCTCTGCTTCAGTTCAGTAAGATTGCCATGAGTGCCGTTTCCCTGAGGGAAGAGGGGTGATGCCAGAGGTGTCTGTCCTCATGGTCCAGGAGATCTGTTGGAAACTTCAAAGAACTTGATGGGTGCTGACACCAGGAAGAAGCTTATCTTCTAAATAACCACAAAGCATCCAACTTCAGA